TATATATATATATATATATATATATATATATATATATATATATATATATATGAGGTAGATACAGCTAAGATATATTATATTTGATCTGATATATATATGTTTGTATGTATGTACGTATGTGCGTGCTGATGGATGTAAATTTTGATTACAGAATATTAATAACGCATTACTTCTGACAAAACTACTTGCACTTTTCAGGTTTTATATGCATACAGATGAACGTGAGCGCGCACAAACACACAAATATATTTTTACATTTACAAACGATAAAATAACGTAAGTCATCTGGATATATATATATATATATATATATATATATATATATATATAGTGATATGTATGATAGTGTGAATGATATAATCTTGAATAATTGCATAGGTCACACTACTACATGCCTATCCAGATGACTCACGTTACACCTATCCGATCGCAGCTACAATAGAACCTATTTAAATACACACACACAAAATTACCAGTCTCTAGCCGAGACCTACTAGTGGAAAATACAAGCATTATAACCTCATTCGCATGTAAAATATTAAATATAATGGAAACCTTACTAATGAAAAAAAGCCAACACTCACAAATATTAACTACTAACACGGCCACAATGTGCTGACTGTGTTCTGAAAATAAAGCATCCATATAACTCTAGATGTATAAACACAGCCCATACGTCCAGTTCAAAAGTAAAAATAAAATTACCCTTGAAAATGGATAAAAGTATAGCTGAAAGCGCTGGCAATTATATATAATATATATATATATATATATATATATATATATATATATATAGACGAATTAAAGCAGAAATTAGACCGCCACAGTGAGTTTCCGCGCTGGATGAATTTCTAGTGTATAGTACACAACTTGTCGTTTGTTCCCTCATAATATAAAAGCATGGAAGAGTTCACAGAAGCTTGCGTCACGGGCAGAAAATATTTATATTTCTCTGGCCTACATCGAGAAACCATATCGCAATTTTGTTCAACGCCGTCTCCCATATGATTGTAGGTATTTTCTGATCATAAAGTTTTTTCTATTAATTGTGGTCCACATTTTTATACGCTTGAACTTTTCATAAACTTAAGTGAAGACAGTAAATTTTCGATGCGTCTCCCACGGACTGGTACCTATACTAAAATTTGGAAAAAAACACAATTCTGATATACCCCACCTCACCGATGAATCCACGTACCTAGAAAATGGATTTTATTTTTAACAAAACTAACATTACCGAGACACAACCTAATTCACGTTAAACAGTAAAATAGCTCTTAATTTAGTTTAATAGTATCGATTTAGAAATTAGATTTAAGCTGATTTGTTATTGATTCATCATGATTTTAATTGATTTTCTATTGTTTTTTCAATTGATTTCAATATATGTTTCCACAATGTTATTTGAAATATTGTTCTTAGCGCTTTAATAATGTTACACGTTTTTCTTCTTATTTTTGAACGTTGTGTTCTTTAGCCATCACTTCGGTGCTTGCCCAGTTTCTCGAAAGTTATCTATTCTTTCTCGGATTGATTATCTCATTTTACATTAACCAATACTAAATCTATTTCCTGAGCAATATTTGAGTCACGCCAGGAAATACCAGATGTTTGCATGAAATTTAATATCAACCAGGAACATTGATTTACGAAGAGGTGACCTGCGGTGCCCCCAATATATATTGGGTTCACTCGAAGTCATATTAAAATAAACTTGGCAATAGATGTCATCCTAGCATGACAAAAGTCCTAGGTGACTCGATCTTTGTTTGAAAAGACGACCTCAAAACTGTAAGTTCATAATCAAGCTACAAACGGTGTTACGAGGTCAAACGACAAAAACAAAATGTGGACCCAGCTGAAACTGTAGTATATCCACACACGTTAAAACAGGAATATACAGGCAAACTACAATAAAAGCAGAATTCCTCGCATTCTCGCAAGAAGATCGAACGTTCTATGAAAGACCTGAGACCAAATACCTTTCGCTTCAACCGACGCTAATTTGATGTAATCTAGAAATGAATAAACAACTATTTTACGGATAGAAGATATAGTCTTGTATTCTTCTAAAACATTATTAACATTACACATGATGTGCGTGAATTTTAACGTCCCATACTATGTTTTTAATCACTGTTAAACAATACCGCGGTTAAAATTGATTTCGTTATTTCTTTTTCTGCTCACAGACAATTTATTTGCACGATTCTCAAGAAATAGTAAATCTCTATACTTAAACTGTCTCGCATATATTTTTATTTCTAACGCGTCTTCTTTCTATACCTCCTTCAGATTAAAAACTCTTCTTGAAAGAGATGAAATGCGACAATATTCACAAAGGACAAAGGAAATCAACTCGTAAATAATTAACGCAAAATGTAGCATAATTGAAAAAAAAAATAAATCACGGAAGAGAGATGCTGTTAAAGAGAGAAAGAAAGAAAGAAATATAGAGGAAGAGCAATCAAGCAAGAAGAATAGAAATATATAATACTGGGCGTATGAAAGGAAAGAGGAAAAGAAGATAAAAAAAGGACAGGAGATAGAGATGGAAATAAGAAGATGAAAAAAAAGAAATTGCGTAAGAAAATAGTAAACAGAAAAAAGAAGATGAAGAAAGGAACCAGAAATAAAAGAGAAAAGAAAACGATGAGGAAACAGAAGAGGAAAACGCAGAGAAAGGTAAAAAGAAAACAAAGGACGAGAAATGTAAGCGAAGAAGAAAATGAGAAATAGTGTTGTGTACACAAGAAGAAGAAGAAGAAGAAGAAGAAGAAGAAGAAGAAGAAGAACAACAACAACAACAACAAGGTGGCAGAGTAAAACAGAAATTGAAAAAGACGAGCAGATTTTAAAGAAGGAATAGAAGAGGTATATGTGAAAGGAAAGAAAAAAGATCTGAAATGAGCTGAAGAA